CGCTCGTCTCGCCTTGTCTCGCCTCGTCTCGTCTCGTTTCGTTTCGTTTCGTTTCGTTTTCGTTTTCAGTATCAGTGCACAATGTGGTACTTAAATAATAGAAGTTTAATAGCGTTTTGTTTTCGGTACTTTGTCGGTACTTTGCTTTGCCTGCAAGTTGTTGTTGTTGTTGTAGTTTTTTCTTTTCATTTGACTTTTGGTTTAGTTGTTGTTGTTGTTGTTTTTGTGAACTACTAATGCATTCAGCTGTGTAGGATTTTGTCAAGGTTAGCGAGTTGTTGCGGCGGGCGGATATAATGACTTCTCTGATGCATGTTTGCTGCCAGCATCTCCAAAGCAAAGACAGAGAGAGAGAGAGAGAGAGAGAGAGTGAGGGAGGGAGACGGCGGCGCAGAGGAAGTGCGCTGTTTTGAAAACTGGTGTAATTGTTCTTAAGTTCGTTCAAGTTCGTTGCCTGAGTCATTTGTGCAACATTTGTGTGTTGCAGCAACGACTTTCAGTTCGCTAATTTCGCGCATAAATCATGAAAGCAAATCGCCAGCCGCATTCGCCATGTAACTGATTACACACACGCTGCAACACGACCAGCACGGCCCACCAAATCAAAGAGAGTTGTTGTTTGCCAAAAGGCACAAACAAAATCTCCAAATGATGCCTGCCACAGGATGAGAGGCTGCATTTTGGGGGCGCCTGAAATGTATCTGCAAATAAATGAAGTTGTCTGTCGACTCGGCTCTGACTCTGAGTTTGAGTGGAGTCTGAGTCGGAGTCGGAGTCGGAGTCTGAGCTAGTGAAGTCATCAAGCCGCAGCTGGCAGGCTTGCTGGCTTTAGGATTGATCATTGATCTTTTGGCACTCGCCGGGCACATGTGCCGGTGCTGGCTGTTGTCTGGGCTGCCTTTGCGAAATTATAAATAGTGCAAATGCGTGCAGTGCATCATCATCATTAGTTTTTGGCCAGGCCAATAGACTTGTCTAGCCCAAACGACGCTGGAATGGGAATGGGAATGGGAGTGGGGCGAGGCTGGGCTGGGCTGGGCAGCAAACTTTGCCAGCTGCCCTAAAAACCATGGCCATGGCCATGGCCAATTATGTAACACAAATCATCAGCTGCAGCTGTCTGTCCGTCTGTTCGTCTGTCCTTTTTGTCCATTTGCTAAATTGAATCAATTTGTTTTCTCTGTTTCGTTACTTAATTACCAAGTGCGCTATGCTGGCGAATGGCAAAAAGGAAAACTAAATACGTATAAGCGAAAATGTTAGCATATCAAGTTCGTGTCCTAAGTCTTTCGTTTTGTTGCCAGCATTTTCTAATTGCAAGTTAATTTCTTGTGGCGAACATAAATTTAACATTCTAATTGAGTTATCAACCGCAACATGTACACCACACGAGCAAAAATTCCAACAAGGAGCAACCACAGCAACAGCAGCAACAACAGCAACAACAACGTCGAGCAGAGACGGAACAACTTTTACGTACGCTCGGACAGAGCTAACAGAAACTGGCTACGCATGTGAAAAATTGCAACCGGCTATGGCTACAACCGCGAAACCAACAAAAATTGCAAACAGCAACAACTCGAACAACAACAACAAAGCTGCTGCTGCTGCTGCTGCTGTTAGTTGCTGTAATTACATTTTGTCCATCTCTGTGAACGAATGTGTGTCTGTATAGGTGTATGTGTGTTGGGAGCGCGGCAAATGCTTTTTGGGCTTTTGCTAATTTGCTGGCTGTGCTTCTGTTTTTGCATTTTGGCCATGTTTAGCCATGGCTTTGGCTTATTTATTTTTAGGCATTTATAACTTTTTGTGTCTGCAAGAATTTTTCAACGTGCAAATATGTTGGCCGAGCAGCAGCAGTCGCCACCGCCGCCTCAGCAGCTCGTAATTAATTTACTTTGTGTGTTCGCAGCGGCCAACAAAATATGAAAAAATCCATTACGCAAATGTTTATGACCAAAATGGTCAGCGGTAGCAGCAGCAGCAGCAGCAGCAGCAGCATTAACTCGCAGCAAAACTGGCAGCAGCTCCATCCAATGCAAATAGAAAAGATGCCAAAGAGTTGGAGCTGCAAATGGAGTTGCAGATGCGTGCGGACGGAGTCGAAGTGCATTTGACTGTAAGCTGCAACGCTGCAACGCGCCAACAACTGCCACCAACTCAATTCCACAAGTCAAGTGGCACACACACACACACACATGCACACACACACATGCACACACACTCGCACAACTCAACATTGTAATGCGTTTCTCTGTTGCTGCCAATATGAATATTAGTTGATTTTCACCAGCTGCCCAAGTTCGTTGCCTGAGTCTTTTGTTTGCTTGCCTAGCCAGTCGGGGCGTGGCACACACACATACACATTTACGTTTGATTAGCAACAAAAATCGGACTCACAAAGACAATACTAGAAGCTGCTTAAGCCAACAAAGTTGTGCAGCTGCAATTAAGATGATGCTCAAGATACTTAAGACGGATTTGGTTTTAGGTTCATGAAATGACGACAGCAGAAGCCACAGCGATAACTAGCTAAATCACATATTATGGCAAGAATATGGGCAGATGTGGGGATGCTGCTGCAACGTGGGTATATCTGAATAGTAACAACGGACTTGCCTTTAAGGAAGTGCTAGAGTTGATGTAAAATAAAACACTGGCTGTCTTAGCTTGGTGTGTTATATACAATATAACATGAAAGATTATAACATAAAGATTGATTGTTTTTGTAGTATTATTATGTAATATATTATTATAATTTACTATACTTTAATTTAAAAAAAATATATTTATGATTTTAATATATTTATAATTTTTTCAATATTTTATTATATTTGCTTTTCATTTTATTTAATTTTTTTAATTTTGTTGGCACATTTAATGTTATGTTCATTTTTTTTTTTTTTAATATATTTATTGTTTATTTTATTTATATTCTATATATATTTTTTCTATTATTTTAATTATATAAGGGTTAAAATAATGTAGTCATTATAATTTACAATAAAAAATATTTTTTTTATTTATTTATTTATTTTTCTTTCAATATTTATATTTACTAAAATTATTTTATTCCATTTGTGTGTGTGTTTTTTTTTTTAATTTATTAAAAAAGCTTTTCTCTTATTTTATTTGATTTATGTATATGTTCTAATACCAAATTAATTAATATTAATAAATATTTGAAAAAGAATTTCATTAGAATTTATTGTTTATACTTTAATTTATTTTAATTGCTGTTAATTTATTATTATTTTTTGAGATATATTATAATATTTTTTGAATTATTATTTTTAATATATTTTTTAATATATGATAAATAAATATTTTACCTATATTCTGATTAATTAACCAGCTAATAGACTTTACGGAAATTCATTTCTCAATCATTATTATATGATATAAATTGCCCAACTGCTCCTTTAGCTTTTGCTAATCCGCGAATATACGAATTCCGATTGCCTAGTCAGAAGTGAGTTTATAGCACAAATTATAGGCAAAGCAGTAATTCATTTATCTCCGCCCATTTGTCTCATATATCATAAGCTCCATTTTGATTTAATTGTTCGGACAGATTGTTGGATGCTGTGCGAGCGGGGCGATGGCCGAGCTGTTCGCGTTCTTGTTGTTGGGTCCGTTTAAATCAAACATTTAGTTTATTGTCTCACATTTCAGCTAATTAACACTACGACGGGTGCCGCCTCTTGGGGCCAACCTCGTTTCTAGGGGCCGCCGACTGTTTTTCGAGTATACGAAAATCGGCTTAAGATCGTAAAAAACGCACTTAAATAAAATTTAATATTCAAATATTGACATTTAGTGCCATGTTAGCAACAACTTACGTGCCGTTTCTATCCCCCATTCGAGACATTTTCTCTCTCTCTCTCTCTCGCTCTCTCTCCCTCTTTCTCTCCCTCTATCTCTCTTTTATAGAAATCTATTTAAAATACGCAGTTTTTGGCATTCGAGACGCTTAATAATATTAACTAATTGATCTGCATTAATTTAAGTTGACATGAAGTCTAAAAGAGGGAGATAAAAAAAAATAAAAATATGAAACAGGTGAAGCGAACTCAGCTGCCGTTTATGAAGATCGAACAGCATTGAAGCGCGCGTATGTGTGTGTGTGCATGTGTGTAGTTTGTATTATGATTATTATATTTATATGATGTTTTTTTTTTTTTTTCTAAAAATTATGACATCATTTAAATATTTTCGCCTCAAGTTGTTGTATAAACTGGTTTAGGCCAGAGTTTTTTTTTTTTTTTTTCGTTTACTGTGTATGTTTTTATTTGTATTTCATATGATTTTATTATGAATTTTTCCTCTCCCCACCATAAATGTTGGGTAATTATGCACGGACTGCCAAAAGCTCATAACTCAAACAAATTTCTGCGCCCAATTGCGTGATGTGAGACGCGAGATGCGCGATGCGGAAGCTCTTTTGTTTTTGCTTTCGATTTGGATATCGATTTGTATATCGATTTGCATTTACATTGGGCCTTGCCTTGTCTTATCAATGATATCGAGTGAAACGCTGAAAATATATTTTTCGACATTTTATCTGTTATCAGAGGCACGTGAAAAATATCAAAAATTTAAGTTCGCCTTTGATTTGTTTTGTGGGCTATGGAGCTCGTAAAAATCTTTTATCTGATTTTATATGAGTTTTGGTTAGTCTTTGAGCTCGTTAAAAATACGCTAACAAAGGCGAGCGCTCGACTTTAACAAGGAGTTCGTAGCACTTGCCTACAAGTCTACAGAAAGAGAGCTGGAGCTCTAGCATTATTATTCAGGTATAGGGTATCTGATATTCGAACAACTTTGGGCTGCCCTGCTTATTTGTTTTTATCGTTTATTTTGGCGCTCTGCATTTATCATGCGCTGCCTTTGTGTTAAAATATGCGACGTTTTACGGCCGAGCTTACAGGTAGACGCAGGTAAGCAGACTTGCTATAAAGTCAGCATAAATTATATGGAAATTTCGCAGCTTGACTTACCGCATACGGATTATCCTGATTCATCATGGTAGCTGCTAATGCGCTCAGCCTGTGCGCTCAGGACGTGTCTGTGTGTGTGTGCTGCGAGAGAGACAAACAAAGAGAAAGAGAGAGAGGGAGAGATAAATAAATAAATTTCAATGATAAGCGAAGGCTGTAGCTGTTGCCATTTGGCATATAGTCGAGCTTAAACTAATAAACATAATTTCAATATTTATTGCAATACAGAATGCAAATGCTGCTGCACCCATAAAGTCGCAATTAATGCCGCTCGTTTGCCTTAAAGACGCTGCTCCGGATTGTGTGGCGCAGGCGAGTGTGAATCAGAGCATCGGGGAGTCGGTCAGTTGGCCTTGTCTGGGCCTGGCGCTGGTCCTGCACTGATCTCTGGCCAACACCTGATGGGGCCAACAGGTGTTGCAGCATTTCCATTTAATATGTGCACAAATTAACACCTTTGTACTAAATACTTTCACACTTTGCCTAGCTCTGCTGCAATAGGAAACGCCAATTGTTGTCTTCCGGCTTGCCTTGCCAAGGATGCAGCAGCTACAGCGACAGCAGATGCAACAGTTGCAACTGCTTAGCAACTGGCAATAACGACCTTGATGTGTTAATTTGTCGTGCAGCAGCCAGTCTAAACACCTGGCCAACAATCGATTTGCTGTGCTTCAACTAGAAGCTAGTAGTCAAACAAAAGACTTAGGCAACGAACTTTTTTTGGCACAGCTCTAAAAATCATCAATGTGAAGCTGTTGGCAATTGATTGTGCTAAGGGCTACCCTGTAATGCTATTGACCTGATCTGACAAACCTTGCTGGAAATTTGCGTAAATGCGAATGACTTAGGTAACGAACTTTTGGGCTTCAAATTATCATCAGAGAAAAATCATTAAAAGTGAAAATGATTCTTTTTTAATACACTGTATGTTAATCGGTAATATTTTTGCGGGATTGATATGTTAAAGTTAGATAAATAGCTGCTAGCCAAGCTGATGACTTCGATAACAAACTTGGGTTCATATAGGTAACATTCTAGATAAACGGAAGTCTTTCTAGTAAAACCTTATAAATCTGTATTGCAATTTGCGTAGGTAACTTAGAGCTTAGATAATAAAAGTTTGGCTAAAATCGAATGAGAGTCTATGGAGAGCATTATCGTAACCTCAAGTATCATTATGTTAAAGTTTATACATAATTTCCTATTGAGTATTTTTCTACTAACAGCAAAACTTCCATAACCCAGTCTGAGTCTTCCATTCTTCAGCAGGACTCTCTAAAAAGTATGCTATTTTCTGTAGGATTGCATTGTAAGTGTGATCTGCTCCTTTATATATAACTCTACCCATATATGAATATTTTATATATATAATATTTCCCAACCATTTGCTGTCGATTATCTAAGCAAAAGCTTATACAACACATATACCCACTCGACACAGCAATTGCAGAGCATGTTAAGTGCACACTTTGTGGAACATAAGATACCGAAAAATCATCACGCTTGTAATGACAGTGGGGCAATTGTCAATATTTGCGGCACATGCAAAAGCAACATGCGGCATCGCAGTCATCGACGACTGGCAAAATTCTTTGATTGCAATTCTAGGCTAGTCGAGAGACAGTTCCAAGTTTTGTGTAACAAATTCAAGCAAATAAAGCTTTACACGCTGTTTACACTATAGAGCAAACATGAGTTGCAGTACACTGCAAGAAAACATAGACTGAATATGAGAGCTTACCTATTGGCAAATAAAGAAACTATATGCAAATAATAAATTTACCAAGATATTTTTATAGATCCAATAAAAAACGAGATCACAGCTGAGCTGTTAATTGATAGCTGAGATGAGCTATAAGAGAAGTTTTCAGAAATCTATTTAAAAAAGATAAAATAAGCAAATGTAAACAATATTTTGCTATATATATAAATTTGTAAATTCCATAAAATTATTCCAATTCGATTCAGCTCATATATTCAAGTACATTTAGCTCTAGTTTCGCTCAGTGTATGTGCTTTGGCTTACATTGATTCTGTTATATAGTCGTAAAGTTTATTTGCCTGCCCTTGTCGATTTCAGTTCTTGTTGTTGTTGTTGCTGTTGCTGTTGTTGGTTTGTTGTTGCTTTTATGGGCATACTAAAAAGTGCACTGTCCAACAAAACGGAAAACTTTCTCACCAACTCGGCCCGTTTGGGCCCCTCAATCGTCAGTCAATTTTGTATGCTTTATCTCAGCTCGCCATCTTCCTCCGCTTGCGTCTGTCTTTTGTCTTTGTCGACTTTTGGTTGTTTTCTGAATATCTGAATTTGTGCGTTAATGAAATTCACATGTTTGAATTTTTATGCCATCTCGACTTTTATACGTATGATGAATGTGTCTCAGGTATGTTTCATTCGTATCGCAGCCGCATCCATTAAACTGCCAATCAAAAGTCAACGCTCAGAACCTGGCCCGAACTCTTATGGTTATGTTAATAGCTGAGGCTGATAGCAGCTTTCAAAGACTTTTTCTCCACTCTTCTCATTCTTTTCTAGCAAATTATGAATGATCCACAGACTCAAGTTCTATTTAGCATCTCCATAAAAATAAAACAACAACGAAAAAAAAAAGAGATTCAGAAATTGTAGATAAAATCTCATACCTTATCAACGCCTTTGAACTGCCCGCAAAAGCCAAAAAAAAAAAAAAGCCAGAGAGTTGAAATTACTTTGTTTAATCCAAATTTGAATAGAGATTCCGTACGGCTTTCCGTCTCTCGATTTTTCACGTGTTTCAGTTACAAATTTTCATAGTGCACTGAGGCTGCAGTTTGTTATCTTTTTTGTTATATTTCCTATATTATTGTTGTTTGTTGTTGTTGCTGTTGCTGCTTTTTTTTGGTTCGAAAAATCATTTAAGTTTGTTTGTTATGTGTGCACATTGTAAACTCTCCTCGCTCGTTTATTTCTATTTTTATTTTAGTTTTATTATTACTATTTTTTTTTTCACCTTGCGCCAATAAAACGTCACTTGAGCGTACAGTATTTTAGCATTTGTTGTTGTTGTTGTTGTTGTTGTTGCTTGTCGTTGCTAAATTGCACTTGACTTTTAGAACTTTAGACGAGCGTGGAGCTCAGCAATATGTACATTGATATACATGCATTATATACCGTAGCTGAAACTCTATAAACGACACAAACACGCGCTCATTACGCTCCCTGTATTTACGAGTGTGTGCGAGTGTGTGTATATAACACACTCTCTGCACGAGTATGTGTGTGTGTTTATTCAATTTGCTGCCGTCTAATTTATATAGAACATAGTGAAAGATGAGTTTTAGTTGACTTGTTGTTCAGTTGACTCTCAAGATGCATTTGTTGTCGTGTTGTTGTTGTTGTTGTTGTTGTTTGACTTTAGGCCACACCTTTATGTGGTGAAAAGGCACTTGGACTTGAGTTGGGCAAATGGCGAACAAGCGCGCGCCTCTGTTTTCTTTTTTATGCCTCTCATGTGTGTGTGTGCGCGCGTGTGTGTATGTGTGTGTGAGAGAGGTGTGAAAAGTATAGCACTTGCGGCAATATAGCACTCTAGATTAACTTGTGAACTGTGAATTGAGTTGTTATTGGGTCACTTTGCATACTTTGGGCGGGGGATTGTATGCCGATAAACGATAGCCGATATACGATAGACGATATGCGAGAGTAATCGAAGTATCGATCGATGAACGCACGTTACAATTTGCAATCGTTTCTTTCTGGTGTTTCTGTAAAAAGCCGACGACGCAGCGTGCGAGCGTGCGACATGCGATTCGAGCGTGCGAGCAAGAAGCGCGAGCTATCACTAAAGACTGATGTTAAACAGTTCTGCAAAATGCTCTGGGTACGAAAATACCGAACACCGCACCTGGTAGCGGCTACGACAACGACAACGGCAAAGGCAACGGCAACGGCAACGACGGCTGCTGCTGCTGCTGTTGTTGCTGCTGCTGCGGAGGCCTCTGCAAAATGCTCACGAGCGCTGAGATGCTTTGCAATCAACGGCGCGAATACGAAGCGACAGCCCGGGCTTCGGCTTCGGCTACCATACGGCAGCAGCAACGACAGCGACAACGACAGCCACAACAACAACCACAATGAGAAGAAGCTACTGCTATAAACAAAAACTACAAACTGGTTGTCTCATCAAAAAACAAACAAAGCGAAGAAGAAGCAGCAGCCGACGCGCTCTCTAACGGTGCTGGGGCCCACGATAGAGAACATTTGAACAACCACTCAGAGAGCGATATACACATAGAGAGAGCGAGTGGGAGAGAGATTAGCGAGAGAGTGAGCAACTTTGAGCACTTTTAGCAGTTAACAGTGCGCTGTAAACGCTTAACATATATACACTCTGTCCGAAACTCACTCAATACAGCCGAGCACACAGCTCATGCGCGCACTCGCTCTCACTCCATTTTGTATTTGCTTCGTTAACAGCTGAGCAGCAGCAGCAGTGCGCTCTCGCTCTCTGCTCTCTCTGGCTGCGCAAGCGTTACGACATTTGATTGGCTCGATTAACACAATCGGAGCACCCGGTTATAAACCAGTATAACAGCGCACTCACACACGAGCACACTCGGGCGTGCATGCAGGCGAGACAGCACGATCGCTTGCCTGTTCGTTTTGTTCGGTCTATAAATATGAAGAGCAGCTGTCGGAGCGTTGGACAGAAAGAGTGCGCACTATATAGCGCCGCTTTGCTCGAGTGAACGCGAACTTATTTACTCATTTCATTGACCAATGCAGAGCAAAACACACGCACACACATACATACACTCAACATATATAGCAACGAGAGTGACGACTGATCGCCTCGGTGTGCGCGTGTATATGTGTGTGTAGCTCTTGCTGGCCAGCCAGCTGTCGCACGTGGGCGTGGTCTATTTATGCGGCACAACTGTTGCTATGTATCGATCGATACTTGTGTGTTGGCACCCCCTGCTCTCCCCACTCGCCCCCTCTGGCATAAGCTCCGCTTTTTGTGTGTGTTTTGTTTTTGCATGCGCACGAACTGGATTCAATTGCCGTTGGCTGGGGCAACACTCACGCGAGTTTGTTAGTTAGTTAGCTAGTTAGTTCGTTAGTCAGTTAGTTTGGGCCAACTTCCCCGCATTGCTAACGGTGTTAAATTGACATCGCATCGCACTGACCAACCGACCGCCCACCCGCCAGCCCGTCCGCCCTCGTCTGGCGCCAGCTCACGCCATCTTTTTAGCCATTTGCAGTTGTCAAGCTGTCATAGCACTGATCGTTAAATGCGTTATCTGTTGATAGCCATAAGACATTTTATGATATTAGTTGCATTGTGAGCAGCACTAGAAACACTCGAAGCACTTGAAGCACTCGAAGCACTTGTTCAGCCTAACCTGCCCCGACATGCCACATCGGCCAATCGCCACTCAAGTCTTGAATATAGCAGCAACTCGTTCATATTTATCGGCTATGCGGCTGTTTATGAAGACAATCAGCAAAAACCAGATTTTAATTTAGCCAAAGATATGTAATGAGAAAAGCTCATTTATAATTATCATAATATTTTATTGTTATCATTATTTTATAGCCTTGCCTTTTATCAACATTTGAATACATACAATGTATCAGTCAGTTCTTGAATTGACAGATTTTCCTTTGTTTTCTCCCATTTTCACATTCTGACAAAAGTCAAATTTCTTTCACATTTGCAGATGTTCTTGTTTCATTATGGGCGTGACGCCAGCAGCAGAGTCGACTACGCATCTACGCATCAGCATCCCATAATATTTCCACTAACTGAGCCGTGCTATACTCCACAGAAGTTAATCCAATTTGTTGAGTTTTACGATGTTGAAACAGTCGAAAACCCGCAACTCGTTATCATCTGTTTGTTGTCGAAACCCTTTGAGAAAGGGTCGCAATCCGGCATAGAAGTCAAATACGGGCGGGCTGCTCTCAAGGTAAACGCCCCGAAATCGAAACGGAAATCGAAACCGAGAACTGAGAACTGAGAATTGAGGACGCTCGCTCCGAGTGAGTTTTGGTCAGATGGAAAACGGGGTGTTTAAACCCATTACAAGGAGTCGCAGCGAGTTCTCTGTGATTTTCGGCGCTGCGGTTGCTCTTGCGGTTGCCCTGTGAGCTACCTTTTTTCAGTTCCTTTTTATTGACTGGCCAACACCCACACACCCACACACGCACACACACACTCGCACAATAGAGCATTCGCTTTGGTTGCCTTTGACAGAAATTTCATGCTTTAATTTCTCAAACAGTTTGTGGCATTTGCATACGGCATGTGTGTGTGTGTGTGTGTGTGCGTGTGTGAGTGTGCTGTGTGTGCCCTCATGTGCTGGCTAATCCATGCTGAGCAACAGATAATCCCTTGCAATTGTTTGCTTGATTTGTTTGTTATGGTGCTGCTGCCTCGGATGCTGCTGCTGCTGCTGCTGCAGTTTCTTCTGCAGAAATAGTCGCGCATCCTTTGGCACACAATTGCCACATACAATGGAACGTGCAACTGCGTCTTGCCGTTGGACTCGCCCCTTTTTGGTTACACTTTAATGCGTTCTAATGTATGTGACTTTTGCTCAGATCCTCACAAAACGCGCCTCAAACATTTTGCCGCCGCCCGTTGAAGTGACTTTGCGAAAATGTTCACTATATCTCTCTCTCTGTGTGAGTGTGTGTGTGTGTGTGTGCCCATTGTCCTGCATCAATCAGCAATCATCAATCATTTCGGCTGCTGCTCAATATAAATATTTCGGATGAAATTAGGTTAAAGGCTTACAGAAAAGAAAGAGATGTGGTGAGAGGGGAGAGAGAGAGAGAGCGAGGGGGGGGACTAAGGCATTTCGAGCTTGTGTCATGTTGCCAGAGAATAGTCGGCAAATGTTTGCTCTCAGCCAGCAGCATAACTGAGAGTGTATTCGTGTGTCTGTGTGTGTGTGCCCCTCTCTCACTGGGTGTGTGTGTGTGTGTGTGTGTGTGTGTGTGTATACAATAAATTAATTATAAATGCATTAATCACTGCCAAAAACTTTGACAAATACTGACATGAGCGTTCGTCGTTGATTTCGTCTCGTCTCGTCTCGTCTCATCTCGTTTCGATTTCGGTTTCGGTTCGTTTTCGGTTCGTTTTCGTTTTGTTTCGTTCTTTTTGCATTGGAGATGCGCGCGTGAAATGAAAACAAAAATTTAAAACACGTTTTCGCGCTTATTTCTGACTAATTTATGCGTTCGATTTGTTCGTTTGTCTGCCAACCAGAGCCAATCATTCACTTACACAGTTTACTCGTCTCAATTATACCCTGGAAATCGCGAATGCAAATGAGGGGGCGGCCGAGAAGTATATAAGCATATTTCTATAGACTTTTAACTATTGATGTATTTCTTATAGTGAATACTTAAAAATATGTATATAAAATATTATATACTGCCATATGCATATATCTTTTCCGTATTCACATACATTTCCACATCTACCTCTATATGTTTATATTCATTTTATTCATATTATTTCATTATCTTTACCTGCATATCCATGTCAATATCGTTATCCAAATCTATACATATATTCATATGTTTAATTATATCTATATTGAATAAAGTTTATTCACATCCATCTGCATATATTTTTATATCCATATCCGTATTTTTTTCTCTCTAAATTGCCTCTAATTTTGTTAATACATATTTTAAAATAAATTATTAAATAAACATGCAATCATATACTCCGATCCTAATCCCTAAAATATGGCTACACATATCCATAAGCATTTACGTATTTCTGATCAATATGCCCATCTATCTACATCCTTATTCTTATCCTTACCTTTATTCTTTTCTCTATGTATATCTCATTTCATATTCTCCTTTTTATTCGTGCTCCTCTCCTCATCTGTATATCCTTATCATATCTCTTATCATATGCTTATTCATAGTTATAGTTAATTAATTCATTATTTTACAGTATTTTTCATTATCTATTTATTCAATAAACTTTTTAATAAATTCATTTCTTCAATATCATTGTTTAATATGATTAATCGATAGATAATAATGTTGATCAATCAAATTATTTAGCACTTCTTTTCCATTCCTGCTTCTACAGGGTATCTCTGGCGTCTGCCCCACTCTACTAGTGCAAACATTTGCTGCTCGTTGTGCCAAAATGCCACAGGTTTCGGTTGCCGTTGTTGTAGTTGTAGTTGTTGCTGGTATTTATATATTTTTTTCCATTTCTGATTTTGATTGAAAGCCCCAGAAATTGATTTGCACCTTGCGGCATTTGGATGCTCTTTGGCATGTTTCACATTTGGCAGCTTTGTGCCGTATGCCATATGCCGTATGCAAATGAGATCGTTGATCTGTTTTGGTATCGATTGGTTTTTTCGAAAGACATCAGCGGGCAGAGCGTGCCACATAAAAACTCGAAACCAAATCATATTTGACCCTTAGGGGTCGCGCATGCCAATAATGAAAACCGAAACCGAAGCCGAAAACAGCAAAAACATACGAGATACAAATACAAAATAAAAATCAAATCAAATCCAAAAGACAGAAATGTTAATTTCCTGCATACACAAACAAATATTCAGATATATGCGATCTATGAAAAATGTGAACCACTTGGGACAAAAGTTGATTTTATTTAGTTTTTTTTTTTTTTGGTTTCATTTGGATGTGGCGGATTTCTTTTCTGTTTAAGTTTCGCTTTGTGAACAGAGATTTTCCAGTTTCCAGTTTCTAGTGGCGCGAATTTGAATTTAATCAAATTAATTTGTGTGTGTCAATGCGCTTGGACATTGATAAATTGATAGATCGGATTGAGTGTGGCCGAACAAATTGCTCCAAAAAGAGCGAAGACATTTACTAACAAATCTCCATTTGGCTATGACAAAACATTTAGATGCCCGAAAGCTTGGCTTATTCCACATTTTATGGCCACAACCGGTTCACATAATATTGAAAATTATTGTCTGGCCACAGAGTCTGCGCGGCTAGAACAGCTTCCGTGCACAGCCCCATCTGATGGGAGCCCATTTCCATTTCCATTTCCATCTCCATCTAAATTTTCATTTGGCTGACACAAAAGTTGCGCATTGTTGGGGCATATGGACCAAAATTGGGCGGTCATAAAACGAAAGAGACGCGCCTAAACACCAATTCAACAGTTGTTCAACACTCTTATTTTCTTCTCTTTCCAGCTCGAACTCTGTGGGAACCTTCACGCCGTTGACATCACACAACCGACTCCAACTCCAGCTCCAACTCCATCTCGGACTCGAACCGATTTCAATGCGTAATTGTAACGTCTTTGTGATTGTTATTAACACCTTAAGCTGGCAAATGGACCACGAAGCTGGCCCGAACAAAGCCCAAGCTCTGTGTGCTGCTCTCCTTATGCGCGACTCTATGGAATTTCGTGAATTTATGCATAATGGACGTACATTAAATCCATAACTAAACAAATGAACTTCACATTCGACATTCGAGCGAACGAAACGAGGCTGTGAAATAAGTCAAGTTTCGGTTCGGCTCAGTTCGGTTCACTTGTTGTTTTTAGTGGGTCATAAATGAAAAGACTTTTCACAGCTGATTGTGAGAAATGTGTGAGGGAGGGAGCGAGCGAGCGAGAGAGCGAGAGAGCCTGAATGCCATTGCTCTGTCTCGGGCCTGGTCCAATCCCACATTCTATCAGCTATATGGACTTATTCCCCAAATGCCAAATGTCCGCTTCGGGGCCTAATTGTGATCTATGCTATGGGCTGTTGCTGATACCCTGTAAACAGTAGATGAGCTCGACTGATAGTGGGTGGGGTATACTCTTGATCGCTGTAAATGAAAAGTTAGGGTATTGAAAGAAGGTAAGGCCAGCTATAGCAGCTCTTCTCTTAGCCTATTCATTTATTAGTTGTACATTTGATTTTACTTTACAGGGCATGTGTTAGTCTTGTCCTCTCACTCTTTCCACTTCATTATGAATTTTACGATGTGAGAAAGTCGCCGCGCCGCAATGGCAATAAAAGCCCAATGTTTGAGGACCTGGAGCTTCAAAATGGGGCGTCTCTTCAGCACCTGCAAGCAGCACAGAGCACAGAGTTTAGAGCTCACAGCCTCTTACTCACTGTCTGTCTGCCGGCATCAGAGATCAGCTTGAAATGAATCATAGACCATGACTACCAAATGGTGCCACAAAGAGGCGTTCGATAATAAACCACATGGAAATTCATAAATCAAATCGAAATGCGGCTGCAATTCAACGAAAATATGAATTAAATTTTCACCGCTTAAATGCAGATGGTATGGAAAATAAATGAGTGAACGACTATCAGATACTCAGTGATTATCTAATCACTTAAGCTCACTCACTCTCTCTCTCTCTCTCTCTCTCTCTCTCTCTTTCTGTCTCTCTTTCTCTGTATATATATATATATATATATATATATATATATATATATATATATTAAGTATTTCTCTCTTAGTTCTCTCTATCTGTTATGCCTATTGACAGCCCAGTATCGCTCGGTCCTTTATTCCTGTATAGACGAGTATATATATATATATATATATATCTGTCTCTTTCACTATCACTCGCTTACTTTCTTCTTCCTCCTCATTTCTTTTCTTCTGTATTCTCCATTTTGGCATTTAGTTTCAGTTTTGTTCCCTTTCTCTCTCCTGCAATTCATCTAGATCTTTCTTTTCTTTCTTATTCACTGTTTTGTCTTCTTCTCCCTGTTCTCTCTCTATCCTCTCTCTATTATATTCTGCATCTCTTATATATTATTGAGAGTACCTAAATAGTGAAGTACTTCCAATGAAGCAGCTCAATGCTGCAATCATATCCGCCTTTCTATAAGTTTACAGGGTATTCTAGGCACACACACACACACCCATACATATATGCATATTTACAATTTGAAAGGTCTTTTGAGAAAATATTGTTTTAAATGTGCGCAGCGCTGAACTTGACCCAATGATATTTAGTTAGGCATTGCAGCACTGCTGCTCTGCCATATAGGCTTGATCTTGCTCCAAGAAAGTGCCACCACCAGCAGCAGCAGCAGCAGCAGCAGCAGCGGCAGCAGCAGCGGTTCCCAGCTGGTTTGGCTGTTGGCTGACAAATGACTAAGGTCGTATGCGGCCTTTGTCGAGGGGCGGTTTCAGCTTGGACGGGCGGTAAGAAGGTCGACGCTGCCTCTGACTTGTCTTGACTCGACTTGGCTGAGCTGAGTTGAGCTGAGTTGACTCCACGTCTGCCTCGGATGCATCACACAACAGCTGCAAGCTGTGGCTGGGACGTCATCGCTTGACTTTAGCAGGTGTTCCGCTAGACAAAAGATGCAACAAACAACAACAGCAACAGCAACAACAACAAATTGAAGCTGTTGATGCGCACGAATTCCGTTTTTAGCCGCAGCTTTTCGCGCGCTGTTTCCATTTTGCTGCAATAAAATTTTAATAAGATTTTTTCTTTATATATTTTATGCTAAGAATATAGAAAATATATATAAAAAATGTCTGTCTCTCTGTGTATGTGTGTGTGTGTGTGTGTGTCAGTCAATAAAGCTAAATCGTGATGCAGCTCGAGCGCTGCCTCAACACTTGCCCAGTTGCCCAGTCAGTCGTCGATCGATCGGTTCGAGCTCCATTTTTGTATTGCTTTTGCATTCAGAACTCCTCCAATGCATCGGATGGCTTCATCTACGGCCATTTGTACGGGCACAAAGCTGAAAACGCTTAAATGCCTTATTGTTTATAGCAAATGCAAATTATTTATATTTTTTTCTCATTTTTTTCTTATTTCTTTTTGTTTTTTGTTTTAAATGCTGTTAATGACAGTCGCAAATGCAGTTTCAGTTGCGATCGTCTTGAAAGAGATGCACTTTTGGGTGTGTCGTCGTCATCTATTATAAACGTTTATAATATATATACACACATATATAAGCTTGGCATCTATTAATAATGATTGCAAAATCGCCACGTTTATGCGTGCTAAATATTGTGATCAACAGAGTTCATGTAGTGCACAGTAATCGAGTTGACTTCGGCTCTGTAGGTAAAAAAAACAAAGAGTGAGGTATAGCTTCATGAATTAATGTTTATAGTTATTTAGGGAGAGAATATGCTATGCAAGAAAAAATCATTGAGTCTTCAAATTCTTTATTTATTTATATATTTAAATAAACGTATATTTTCTACCTTAATTACTTTTAATATATTCACATAAGAGAAAAATTCGCGAAAATGTTTTCCAATATTTAATTCTAAAAAATATTTTAAAAATAAATAAATAAATAAAATTCAAATTTCATTTTCAAAAATTATAAAGAAATAGGGTTTCATATATTTAATTATTAAAAAAATTTATATTTCAAATATTCAATGTCAATATCTAATTTTAAAATCTAAAACTCTTATCAAGTAATATAAATTTGTATTTAATTATTTTTTTTTATTATATTATATAAATTAATTAAATATTCTTATTTAATGTGTCTAGATATATTATTAAATTTTTATAAGAATATCGCATTCTAATGGTTAAAATTTCATTGTATAAGGAGTCCTAAAAAGTATTTTGCATCAATATGAGTTTTCTATTTATTTATTTTTTATTTTTTAATGTAAAAAAATATTTTTATATATAAGGATCACATTAGATAGATTTAGATTTAAATAAACAATTAAAAAATATAGAGTTTAATTACACCTTCTTACTCACTTTTTATTTATATAATTTAAAAATATATAATATTTGTTTCCATTCTTAAAATTATTATAAACATATCAGCATCCCAGTTGACTTCATTTATATATATTTATATTATATATAAATACATTGCAAGTACTTTGCGCCGGCTCAGTCAGCCTTTCAGCTGGCAGTTAAACGAAAGAATTCCCGCAACAACAACAAATAAATAAATAAAGTTGTAGAAACCTTAGGCAGGGTTAGTGCTACAGAGTGACTGCTCCTAACTCATACTAAATGATGATGACAGCCTAATTTCAGACATGCTGGGTAATTAAGCGAGAGACAAGACTGTGGGCAGGGGATCACTCGGTCGGTCGATCGGTCGATCGATCGATCTTTGGTTTTTGGTATTTCGGTAGCCCTTGCAAACGCTGGTGGCCTAATGACTGTATCAAAATGTCTGTAGCAGGAGTAGGAGTAGCAGTCGGAATAGGAGAGTTATCGAGATATTTATGGGCCTGTTTGTTTAGCGGACACGCTGCAGCACACTTTAAGTACCGTGTGAGTGAGCATGAAATTACGGCAGGACTTGCCAGGATGCCAACTGTGCGCAACATATGTTCCGACTCACAACGAAATTTCCCAAAAACGAATGAGGAAAAGCAGACGACTAATTTCGTTAGTCTACGTGCACTTCCTAATCGCCGGCAGGAAGTTTGAACTGCGTTCTGTTTTGGGAAAAAAGAGTAGAAAAAGAATTGTTGACATGTGACAGGACTTAGCCAGCAGCAGGAGCAGCAGCAGCAGGCCAAACGGACGCACGTCTAATGCACATTTAAATAAGCCTTTTGCTGGCTTTTTGTTTGGCCTTTTGTCCGGCCGTAGTTGCGGTTATGGAAATCCAACGACTTTTCTCTAAGTCGACGCACAGCGGCTTAGCCACAGCTCTTGGCCAGCAACGGCTTGTTGGCCAGGCTCTTGAGCCTGGGCAACTCCTAATTACGCGCGTGAGCGCTCTAAATGCAGCAAATAGACATTTGTGCGGGCTGTGGGGGTTGCTTGTTTAGGCCTGGCGACTGCTAATGCCAATTGTTATTCTAATTCTCCCTCTCTCTCCCTCTCTCTCTCGCTTTATGTTTTTGATTTTCATTTAAACTACACACACACACGCACACGCATGACACACGCACGTCTCGCATCGCTCATCCTGCTATGATCTTTTGGCTTAGACAGTTTTATTTGCATTTTGTTGTAAATCTTTTTCTATATTTTCCATTCTTTTTTTTTTTTTTTTTTTTTGCTTTTTTTGTGTGTCGATTTTAATGATGCCCTTTGCCTGGCCACGCCCACTGGCCATCATAAATTTAATTTTCAGACCCAAGTGTTGACGGCAGCATTTGATGGGCAGCGGCAACAGCTGTTGGGCAGCCCAGGATCGCGAGGGAGAGAGAGAGAGAGTGAGAGGGAGGGAGAAGGGCAACGGCTTGGTGTGTGGCCAGCTAATTGAGTGACCAAGCGTGAGGGTCAACAGCAGCAGGAGTAGCAGCAGCAGCAGCAGCAGCAGCAGCTAAAATACAACTTAATTGCCAGCGTATAACAAATTTGAGAACGGGGCAAGCATTTTGTGGCATGTGCAGATTGATGTGGCAGCAGAGATAAAACTTGGCTGAAAATAAATGAAATAAATTAGAAATTTACATAACTCAATCAAATTTATATATACATATATAGATATATGTGGTCCACTGACAAGGCTTTTCGAGAACTATGAAAATCGTATGCCATTCAAGCCTCTTCATGGGCTTTCTGTAGGTCAGCAGCTTCGTGACGAGGCATTGGAGAGCAAGTTGGGCAAGTGTAAATCAATACAAACACACATACATATAGTATACACATATACTTATATAGATAAATATATTTATTTGTAATCCGTAATAGTGCGATCATTATAATAGCATCATCGTTTATTTGCAATCATGCGGCACATTGATTAATAAACTGATTATTCATAAACCACAAGAGGCAGCTTCTTGTTAATGAGCCGTGCGATGAGTTAAGCCTGCGCTGCTATTGGAGCGCAGCGCTTGGGCGCTTTGTTTGGGATTTGGGACTTGGGGCTCGGGGGCA